AGCTAATTTTTGTATTTTTAGTAGAGATGGGGCTTCACTATGTTGGCCAGGATGGTCTCAATCTCTTGACCTTGTGATCTACCTGTCTCGGCCTCCCAAAGTGCTGGGCTTACAGGCGTGAGCCACCATGCCCAGCCAATAGTAGCTAACTTTATCATTTGCCTTTTAATTGCCAGGTACATTGTGAGGCAGTTTATATCCTTGAACTAACAACTTCATGATGGCCTCATGTTACTAATGAGGAAACTAGGGCCCACAGTCAGACATTAGCCACTGGTGGGGCAGAAATAGGCTCCTGGTTCTAGTGTGATCCAAAGTTGGTGCTTTTCTGTCTATCCTTAGCTGTTGGTCACCACCAGCTTTCTGCATATTTTCTCATGATGCCTCTCATTTCCCAGAGCCGTCTGGAGCCCAAGGCTGTACACGTGCCCTGTGCTGATTCTCTGCCTAGGAAAGGACCATGCAGCTAGAGATCAAAGTGGCCCTGAACTTCATCATCTCCTACTTGTACAACAAGCTGCCCCGGCGCCGGGCAGACCTGTTTGGGGAGGAGCTAGAGCGGCTTTTGAAAAATAAATATGAAGGCCACTGGTACCCTGAAAAACCCCTGAAGGGCTCTGGCTTCCGCTGTGTTCACATTGGGGAGATGGTGGACCCCGTGGTGGAGCTGGCCGCCAAGCGGAGTGGCCTGGCAGTGGAAGATGTGCGGGCCAATGTGCCTGAGGAGCTGAGTGTCTGGATTGATCCCTTTGAGGTGTCCTACCAGATTGGTGAGAAGGGAGCTGTGAAAGTGCTGTACCTGGATGATAGTGAGGGCTGTGGTGCCCCAGAGCTGGACAAGGAGATCAAGAGCAGCTTCAACCCTGACGCCCAGGTGTTCGTGCCCATTGGCAGCCAGGACAGCTCCCTGTCTAACTCCCCATCACCATCCTTTGGCCAGTCACCTAGCCCTACCTTCATTCCCCGCTCCGCTCAGCCCATCACCTTCACCACCGCCTCCTTCGCTGCCACCAAATTTGGCTCCACTAAGATGAAGAAGGGTGGCGGGGCAGCAAGTGGTGGGGGTGTAGCCAGCAGTGGGGCAGGTGGCCAGCAGCCACCACAGCAGCCTCGCATGGCCCGTTCACCCACCAACAGCCTGCTGAAGCACAAGAGCCTCTCTCTGTCTATGCATTCACTGAACTTCATCACGGCCAACCCAGCCCCTCAGTCCCAGCTCTCGCCCAATGCCAAGGAGTTCGTGTACAACGGTGGTGGCTCGCCCAGCCTCTTCTTCGATGCGGCCGATGGCCAGGGCAGTGGGGCTGGCACCTGCAACAGCAGCAGCTTTGACATGGCCCAGGTATTTGGAGGTGGTGCCAACAGCCTCTTCCTGGAGAAGACACCCTTTGTGGAAGGCCTCAGCTACAACCTGAACACCATGCAGTATCCCAGCCAGCCGTTCCAGCCCGTGGTGCTGGCCAACTGACCGTCTACCTGCCTGTGGGGCCAGAAGCACCCAAGACCACAGAAAAGAGAAAGAAAAGGCCAAAAAAAAGAGGAAAAGAAAAATGTACAAAAAGATTTTCGATCTTCTCACTCTCACTTCTAGAAAAAAGATCCAGCCCAGGCACGGAATGGGAGGGCCCCGCAAAGCACCCAAGTGTGTTTCACTCACCCCTTACCGTTCACCCACCGGCCTGCGATTTATTTGGTTGGTTTGGGTTTTATATTTCTTTTTCTTTTTTTTTTCTTACATGTAGTTTTCTATATAACATCTTTAGTGAGTGGCTTCCTGTGCTAAGAATGGTCCAGATGTGAACTGCTGCTCCCTGCTCCTCCCTTCCTCCTTCACACTCCTAGTTTAGGATTGGTGTGTCCAAGCTCACAGGGAAGAAAGAGCTGCAGCTGGAGCCTGACCCTCCCTGGAACAGGGAAAGGCTGGCCCGTGTCACTGCCTCTGTCACCCAGCTATCCTCGCACTCAAAGCCATCCAACCTCAGCAGGCCTTCTCGGGCCCTGCCACCTGAATAGGTCTGACCCCATTCCCCACTCCCTTTCAGGCTGGGCCACAGGGAGCTGCTGGCTGGCCACTTGACACCCTCCGCCTAGAGCTGATGTCTGTGACTACAGGGAGATTAGCACTTCGTCTAGTGAAACTCCTTTCATCTCTGTCCTATGGCCCCACCCCACCATTCCCTCCAGGCCCAGACCATCATCATGTGTGTGGCCTTCCTTTCCCTCATGCAGCCCCTTCCCCAGGCTGGAGGTTGTGGGAGGGGTGTGTGTGTGTGTGTGTGTGTGTGTGTGTGTGTGTGTTTGGTTTGCTGTCCTTTTTTAAAGGATTCCAAGCCATGTGAAACTTCCCTTCTGGATGTGATTCTGGGTTGCAGCAAATGCTTATTTATATGTGAGGCTGGGGAATGGGCTGGGGGTATTGGCAGTCCTTTTGCAGGGCAGTGTGCGTGGTGGGGTGACACCACTGTGGCTGAGCCCAAGACACTCCCAGAAGAAAACACTGCAGAAGGAACTGGTTTGCAGACTGCAGAAGGATCTGCACTTTTGTTTTTGACCAAAAAGATAATAATGTTAGCTCTGAAGGGCAGAGGGAATGCCCAAGCCCCTGATGCCTATGAGAAGCCCCCGGACTTCACCCTCCTATTGTGTGACCTTAGCCCAGCGGGAGCTGCTCACCTGAGCACCCTTGGGGGTGGGCAGGGAGGCAGGGTGGGGTTTTAGAGTTAGTGTCTGTGCGGGGGCAGCCCTGAGCCTGGAGTGGAGACTTTGCGTCTCTTAGTTGGAGGTGTTGATTGCATTTGTGCCCCGGCCTGGTTGAGAGCTTCTTGGTACCTCTTGCCACCCCTTCTCACTGCCCTGACCCAACCCCATTGGACTTTGATGCTGCGAAGAGTGGTGTCCTGACAGGGACTCAGTGCTCCCGCCTGATGTATTGGATTATAGGAGAGGGCTTGTTCCTCCAACCCTAGGAGGCCAGGCAAGCATGAACAGGAGCCAAGGGATCAGGGTCATGAACTTTTTCCTCTTTGCAAAGAGGGGCACTTGGCATCAGGGTCCCATCGCCAGAAAGCACCAAAGCCCCTGGCACCCCACCCACTCCATCCTACCCAGGGACCCCAAGTAGGCAACTGCTATGGCAGTGGGTCCAGCCCAGGCCAGCACTGCCAGTCTCCTCTCCCTGCAGTATGCACCAGCTCTACCTCCCCCGGCAGGCAATGTCCTGGCTTCTCAGCCCAGCACCATCTGTTCCCCTAGACTTCTCAGGGGCCAGCCCAGTCTAGGCCATCCTTCCCCTCATCCTCGGCTCCCACACAGGTGACAGGCCCAACAGATAACTTCTCTCTGGGAAAGGTTGGATGCTGCCTTACGTCCCCTTCTAGCCCTCCTCCCATCGCCACACACAGGCACCCACCCGCACCAGGTCAGCTTGTTTCTCACATGTAGCGAGAGAGGGGAGACCAACCCCTTTGTGTCTTTTGAAATACGAAGAAAAATGTGTGTTCAGGCGCTCTTGGGCCCAGTTCAGTCCGTCTTGTCTCAAATCTAGGCATTTTTGCTTCAATTTTATTTTTTTTAAGAAAACAAAAACAGAAATCTGCACTAATTTACCTGGTTTCGTAGGAAAACTTTTTTTTATTTTTTACATTTTTTGGTGTCCGTTTGTATTGAATAATTTGCTACATTTGTAAAATGTAAGAGGTATATATAATATATGTATATTTCTAACGTAAAAAACATAATTTTTTTCTTTTCAAGATTTTTTCTTAAGATGAGAGAAACATATTTTTTCAGGAAAAACAAACTTTAAAAAAAAGAGGAGAATAAAACCTTTTCTCCCCTTTCCCCATCCTCTATCCCTCTTTCCCAGGAACAAATCAAAAGGTGGATTATCTTGTGAAGAATGGAAACCGTTAGTCCAGAATGATGTCTTTTTCTCAATGCAGTGAGTTATAGATTCTCTAGTTTTCTCCCTAGGGATGGGAAGGGGGCATTGAGGCAAGCCTGGAGAGGAGCCCGGGGAGCAGGGTCATGAACTTTTTTCTTTAGTGAAGGAGGAATACAATCAAGGGTTTTGTATTCAGAATGTTGTGCAATATTTTGGAATGGGACATTGGTGTGTTTAGAGATTTTAGTTTAAAAACAAAACAAAAAGATTGATCAAATCTGTACAGTTTCTATTGTTCCAGATTTTTTAAGTTTGTATTAAAAGCATGATATATAACAGCCTTCTGCCTGCTCCTAGCTTGCTTGGTTTCTGGGGTCCCTTTTCGGATGGAGAGAATGGGAGTGGCCCAGCTCTTACAGACTCCAAGAAATGATTGGTCCTCCTTACAGTGACAGCCTCCGATGGACATAACTGTCCTGGTGCCCCTTCTTGACCACCTATCCATCCTATCAACACAGGATACTTCATTGTGCCTGCTACCCTAGATGCTTTTCTACACTGGAAACAGGTTCCACAAAGTTAGGAACCGCTCCAGTTCCCTTAGCCAGTTGGTGGTGGCACCAGGGCTGGGAGCAGAGCCTGGAGAACGGGGTCCTTCTTCATGACTCTTTAGGAATTGCCTATTCCTGTGGGGAGGAGAGAGGGAGCAGCCTCCAGCCTGCTCTAGATCTAGTACTTGATCCTTAGTACTAGATCCTTAGATGTGAGCAAGGATGAGAACAGCTCACCTAAGCCAGGTTCCATCCAAAACCCTGGTGCTTGGATTCTCAGCCCTTTTCTGGGGCTGGACAATTCTGGAGCTGCTTTAAGAGTAAGACAGCCCAGCTCAGAGAAGGCCACCCTTCTGGCAGTGGCCGATTTCCTTAGGAGCTCTGCCATCTCCCAGTGCCCCAGGCCATATGTTCCCCTTCCCAGGGCCTGTGCCCATCAATGCTGCCCATCTAGGAGAGAAACAAAATCTCTCTACCATCTCCCACCAGCGTGTACTTCATGTCAGAAACTGGCAAGGCCCCTGGGCTGAAGTGACCTCAGAATATTTGTGAAGTTATTATTTTAACAGTCATCTTTTATTTGGAGGTTAATTCCCATCAGGATATGAAAGGATTCAGCAACAATCAAGATTGTGTTCCTCACGGAAGGGCTCGGGCCAAGGTCACGGGGTGGGGGGATGCAGAGCGTGTCCTCTTCAGTAGTATTTGCGTAGCCGCTCGCGCTTAAGATGCTTGTAGGAAAGGCAGTAGCTGAAGAGCACATAGCATGCCAGCACCACGGTAACCCCTGAGATGCTCCCTTTCCTCACGTCAATGTACTTGTTGTAGTACCAGTAGTAACCTCTTTGAAACGCTCTGAAAATGCCACTAGGGCTGAAGTCCCGCATCAAGATCCAGCTTGGCAGCTCCCCTAGTTTGACCTCCAGAAGTTTCTTGTCCTTCACTGATACGACTGACGCCATCTTGGAGTCCTGGTGTCCGCTGTGCCAGGCCACGTCGAAGTTAGTTAGTTAGTTATTCCATTTTGTTTTTTAATTGGACGGGGTCTTGAACTCCTGGGCTCAAGCAATCCTCCCACCTCGGCCTCCCTCTCAAAGTGCTGGGATTACGGACGTGAGCCACCATTCCTCATCCTGTTGAATTTTCACAGGGATTGTTCATCCTCACAGGGATTGTCTCCATTTTGCAGTTAAGAAAATAGGCTGGGTACGGTGGTTCACATCTGTAATCCCAGCACTTTGGGGGCCGAGGCAGGTGGATCACTCGAGGTCAGGAGTTTGAGAACAGCCTGGCCAAAATGACAAAACCCATCTCTATTTAAAAAATACAAAAATTAGCCGGGTGTGGTGGCGAGCGCCTGTAATCCCAGCTACTTGGGAGGCTGAGGCACTAGAATCTCTTGAAACAGGGAGGTGGAGGTTGCAGTGAGTTGAGATCGCGCCATTGCACTCCAACCTGGGTGACAGAGCAAGATTCCGTCTCAAAGAAACAAAAAAGAAATAGGCTCCAACTTAGATTACCTTAGATTCACAAAACTAGTAAGTGGTAAAGATTTTGACTTGTGTCTGATTTTTTCATTTGTTGATCCAAGTGCTACTGGGCAGTGTCAGTTTTTGTCCACTGGAGACAGTGTCTGCCCTCCCAGAGTTGATGTCTCACATGCATTTGATACAATTATAACTGCTATATAAGGGTGGTTAAGGGTGGCAGGGGATGACCTTGCCACCTCTACTGCCACGCCACCACTGGGCTGGGGTAGGGGGCAAACAGTTCTGGGGTATCAGTGGGGTATGGGGCCTCCTCAGTCCCCTCACTCCCCAAACAGGCAACACTGAACGCTCCCCAGCCAAGTTGGTGAACTAGAAGCTCCCAGGACAAACATCCAACCTCTGGACAGGTCGCAGGAGGCCTGACGTCCAGCCCCTCCATGGGCCACTTCCCCTCTGCAGGGCCTATTGAGGGGAGGGAGGTCCCCATCCAGGATAATGAGGCCCTAGCCTGCCAGACACAGGGCCATTTGCAGGGGTTTCACTTTCTTCCATCCTGCCAGGCCAGGGAGAAGCCCACCTTGTCCCTGTATCCCTCTGTATAAGCTGACCACCCAGCCTTGGGCCCCACGGCAGGGGCAGGATGGCCCTCACCTGCTCATTCCTGTTTCATGTAGACACAGGTCCTGACGTGGCAGGTGCCTGCTCCCACTCCCTGTCACGCTGTCAGTGGAAGGTCCTGGGCAAGACCCAGCTCAGAAGCCAGACTCACCTTCCTGGCCCGACCCATCCCTCTGAAGGTATAGATACTACGGATTTGGGGGGGAAAAAAAAATTCTCCATGGCATAGACAGAAATCACTCATTCAGACATTCATGCCTTTGTTTATTCAGCAAACACTCACTGGCTCTGAAGAGGTGGAGGGGGAGACTTGGAGGGGTAAAGGGCTGGGGCAGCAAGGGAAGAAAGAATATTCTAGCAGACTCAGTTCCTCTGAAAAAGGCTAATTTATTACTTTGACAAACTATCTATGGGCATCCACTCTCTGCCCTGGGAACACAGGTGTGTCACCACACCAGGCTAATTTTTTTTTTTTTTTTTTTTTTTGAGATGATGTCTTGCACTGTTGCCCGGGCTGGAGTGCAGTGATGCAATCTTGGCTCACTGCAACCTCCGCCTCCCGAGTTCAAGCGATTATCTTGCCTCAGCCTCCCCAGTAACTGGGATTACAGGCGTGTGCCATCACACCCAACTAATGTTTTGTGTTTTTAGTAGAGATGGGTTTTACTGTGTTAGCCAAGATGGTCTTGAACTCCTGACCTCGTGATTCGCCCGCCTCGGCCTCCCAAAGTGCTGGGATTACAAGCATGAGCCACCGCGCCTGGCCAATTTTTGTACTTTTAGTAGAGACAGGGTTTCGCCATGTTGGCCAGGCTGGTCTCAAACTCCTGACCTCAGGTGATCTGCCCGCCTCAGCCTCCCAAAGAGCTGGGATTACAAGTGTAAGCCACCATGCCTGGCCAATTCTCTGCATTTTTAATTTGGGGGATTTCACTATCAGGGAGAAGTAGGTTCTAGGTACTTGAAGCTGCCAATTCACTGTGTAACTTTGAACCCCTCTTGACATCTGTCCCATTTGTACAACAAGGGACAGTGGGGCTAGGCCCCTGGCCAGCTAGGCCATTTAGGATGGTCCCTGTGCCTGCACCTCTTCTTGCCCCACTGGCTCCTGAGCCCTAGGGAGGGCCCTAGAAGGACCCTGTATGGTGGCACTTTTCCCAAAGATGTGAGGAAATAATGATGGGTTGAGCCCTGGGCAGAACCATATACCATCAGGTGAGACCCCTCAACCCAAGACACAAGAACCTAGTCAAACTACTGCTGGGCTGTGGCAGGGCTGGGAAATTCAGACAGGAGAAGAGTCTTGGCCCAGAGGCCCAGACATCTGTGTTCTTTTTCTAGCTCTGCCCTGATTCACTATATTCCTTTTTTTTTTCTTTTTTTTTTTGAGACAGGGTCCTCCTCTGTCACTCAGGCTGGAGTGCAGTGACAGGATCATGACTCACTGCAGTCATGACCTCCCAGGCTCAAGCAATCCTCCTGCCTCCGTCTCCCGAGTAGCTAGGATTACAGGTGTAAGCCATGACACCCAGTTAATTTTTTACTTTTAATTTTTTGTAGAGACAGGGTCTTACTATGTTGCCCAGATTCGTCTCAAATTCCTGGGCTCAAGTGATCCTCATGCCTCCTAAAGTGCTGGGATTACAGGTATGAGCCACCTCGCCCAGCCTGATTCACTACACTATTTTTATTTTTATTTGAGATGGAGTCTTGCTCTGTCACCCAGGCTAGAGTGCAGTGGTGTAATCTTGGCTCATCGCAACCTCCGCCTCCCGAGTAGCTGGGATTATAGGTACATGCGACCATGTCCGGCTAATTTTTGTATTTTCAGTAGGGACAGGGTTTCACCATATTGGCTAGGTTGGTCTAGAACTCCTGACCTCAAGTGATCTGCCTGCCTCAGTCTCCCAAAGTGCTGGGATTACAGTCATGAGCCACCATGCCCGGCCTGATTCATTATATTAAACATTCAATATTCAGTTGAGGCGATGGCTCACGCTTGTAATCCTAGCACTTTGAGAGGTGAAGGCAGAAAGATTGCTTGAACCCAGGAGTTCGAGACCATCCTGGGGAACATGGTGAGTCTCCCATGTCTCTACAAAAAATTAAAAAATTAGCCAGCCATGGTGGCATATGCCTGCAGTCCCAGCTACTCAGGAGGCTGAGGTGGGAGGATGACTTGAGCCCAAGAGGTCAAGGAAGAAGCGAGATGTGATCATGCCACTGCACTCCAGCCTGGGCAACAGTGTGAAACCCTGTTTCAAAAAACCTCCAAAATTCCACATTCAATATGGGACCCCCATAAACACAGGACACTGTGCTAGGCATGAGGAAATAAGGGGCAACTGCAGACAAAATCCTTGCTCTCCTGAAGCAATGTTCTATTAACTGAAAACAAACAAATAAATGAGAAAATGGCAGACGGTAAGATAATCACGACCGGTGACAGTGGCTAGTGACAAAGTGGACACTTATATTAGGTGGACAAGACAAGGCAGGTCTTCCCGAGGAGGGGGCTCTCAACCCGTGAGCTGAAGCATACGATTCCTTGTCACATGCTTAACAGGGAGAAGAGCAGCAGGACCAGACACTTCCAAGGGCAAGAGGCAGGAACAGGACGGTGGGTTCAGGGAAGAAAAGGCCAGCAGCAACAGGCAAGTGGCACAGATGAGGTCGAAGGGGGTCCCAGGCCATAGCATGGGCCCTGCCTGAAGCCTGGATGAGAAGCTGGGATTTTCTCTTCAATATGCACTAAGTTTCTTGCCCCGTGGTTGCATTATCTGTAGCTAGGGGCAGAGACAAGAAGAGAGCTTTCTTGGCCGGGCGTGGTGGCTCACACCTGTAATCCCAGCACTCTGGGAGGCTCAGGTGGGCAGATCACCTGAGGTCAGGAGTTCGAGACCAGCCTGTCCAACATGATGAAACCTCGTCTCTACTAAAATACAAAAAATTCGCTGGGTGTGGTGGCACGTCCCTGTAGTCTCAGCTACTTGGGAGGCTGAGGCAGAAGAATCACATGAACCCGGGAGACGGAGGTTGCAGTGAGCTGAGATCACACTATTGCACTCCAGAATGGTGACAGAGACTCTGTCTCAAAAAAAAAAAAAAAAAAGAAAAAAAGAGAGCACTTTCTCTCACATATTCAACTGCAAACCCTCTTGGAACCCTCCTTTATGGCAGGCCCAGAGCAAGGACCACTGCAGGAGCAGACCCAGGCCCCTCCCTTGGAGGGGCCTTCTACTGGTGGAAGAGCTGGGGGAAGACAAACCCGGGTCTCATGACTTCAACACCACATCAGGTCCACAGCAGGAGGAGGCCCAGAAGCTCTATGCACCCAGAGGAGGCTCCCACGTGGCCCTGGAACGCTTTTCAGAGGGTTGACAGAAGCTAGTAGGTGAAGAATTTGAAGAAAGGGGAACAGCACTTATGTCAAGTGCTTCAGGGTGAGTTGCAGGGTAACATGACACCTGGACTTGGCATTGAGGGGGCCTTAGGGAGTCCGTGGAGAGGGGAAGGGGAGTGAGACTAAGGGGCACAGGAGTGAAGGGTGAAGCCAAGGGCACAGCAAGTGTAACTGACTCTTTCAACAAACCACAGAGGTTTCCAGAAGGCAGAAACGTAAAACCCCTCACAAAGTGCTGAGATTACAGGCTTGAGCCATCGCACCCCGCCTAAAACCACAATGAACATAACTATTAAAACAGCTAAAATGAAAGAGACTGTCCACAGCAAATGCTGGTGAAGATGTGCAGGAATTAGTAACTTTATATACTGCTCATGGGAATGAAAAATGGTACAACCATTTTGGAAGATAATTTGG